GACAAAAAGATGCTGTATCGATGATTTGTGATTATCTAAGATTATCTTTCGACAGTGGAAATAATAACATGTTGGACCTAATATTCAATTGTTCTCTGCACAAAATCTTAGATTCGTTCACTTGATCGCTCGCAACTATCGCGCGTGTCGCGGTAATTCACCCGTTTAAATTGCCGGCAAATATCGTTGGGCGCTTCGGAATTCCGGATGAGATTCGTAGAGGCGAATCGATCGTTTTCCCTGCGAAAATTCGCGCGCGCTCCGTCTAACGAGACAGCCGGCGGAATTCGCGTTACCGTCGCCGTCACCGCCACCGCCGCCGCCAAGGCGAAGAGATCCCGCGGACGTGTACACGCTTCAAGAACTTCGCATTATCGGTCGGGTTTTCTCGCGGATACAATTTCCCGACGCAATTTTCTTTTCAGTCGGTCCCAGCGAATCCAGCGCGCGCGCGGGGTGGACTGTGGGTGGCAAATGGCAAAGAGAGAGAAAGAGATAACCGAGAGAGGGTGACAAAGGGGGTGCGCGCGGAAGGGTGTAGAGTAAGAGTAGGAAGGAGGGGGGGAGGGAGAGGTGCGGCGCAGCCCATATTCGTGCATTGTGGCACGTTCCATCGCGTTCTCAACTGAACTGAACTCGACTCAACAGTGGAGGACACAATGGGCGGTATGAATAAGTATAACAGACAGACACCGGTACAGACAGACACAGGTAGCTCAGGCCGCAGTATGTGAATGAGGAACCCATTTGATAACACGCCTCCACAGCCACCCAGGTCCATTGTGTCGCTTCCTATTCAGCTGCTCTATGCCCTCTTCTCCTCCTATCCCCTCTTTACCGTTTCTCTCTCTCTCTCTCTCTCTTTCGTTCTTCTCTGTCCTCCGCTCTTCACTCTCTCCTCTTCTGCCGGATTCGCCTTGCTCTGCTGGTGGTGTTATATCCCTCTCGCTCGCTCTCTCGCTCTCGTTCCAATATCATCGCTGAGATCTTGTCCTATCTGTCCTGCACCTGTATTATGCACAGTGGAAAAAGGCAGACACGGATTCGCTGTGTGACCCCTTCCTCTTTATTTCGATCACGCGTCGCTTCCCGTAAGAATAGGATCGCGATACGAGTGGATTACACGCGAGGCGCCGCGTAAAAATTGCCAACTACGTTAATAACTTATTATCTTAATTTTCTTTTGCAACAGTTAACTTTGAATTGGAATTATTTATTCAGCAAATCAGCAATATCTGTTTTTCTTTTCTTATCACAAAAAAATAACTTGTAGCTATTATATTTGATAACTACACGAAACGTTACAAAAAATGAAATTTAAAGCATTAATCTGCACGTCAAAAATATCGAATTTTCACTGTTGTTTGCTTCTATTGTTGCTCTTTCCAACGACACGTACGTGCATCTTTAACGCCGAAAGGGTTAAACCGACCCTGTCCACGGAACTGGCATTAACTAGCGAATGGGTCCTGGTCGCGTGGATGGTCCAGCCATGCAAACCAACCCGGGACAGCAGCCGCGGCTTGGCGTACGTGTAGGTTGTACTCTAGAGAGAGAGAGAGAGAGAGAGAAAGAGAGAGAGACAGAGAGAGAGACAGAGAGATAGAGAGAGAGATGAAGAGGTAGCGTGAGAGAGAAGAGAGTACCGACCAACAACAATGAGGCAGAGACAAAGCCCAGGTACAATGCTGATGTTGAACTCGACTGATTTCGACGATTTTTGGCCTTTGCATGTGCATCGCGCGTTACTCGACAATGATTCCCGCATACGTAATCATCGCTATAGCCGCGGAACTCTGGTACCCTCGCTCGCGGCAGTGGCTCTCACTCGCGGCCTCTTTTTCTTCGGCATCTGGACCTTTTTTGAACTCGTCTTTGATGCGCGAGCTAGTGGTAAATGTCATCGTGATACAGCGGTTTGTCGTCTTAAACTCAGGATCCGTTGAATGATAGGAATATAGGGAGGAGAGAGTTCTTTTTTACGCAAACGAGTTTCTTTCGATCGCGCAGCGTATTTTTTTTAAGTAAGAATTATCGCGAAATAAGTACAGATGAGATCGCACATAGTGTCTATCTTTAGATTGTCTGATTCTGAAAAACCGTGTATTAGTACATATATATGTGTGCTTGAATTGATATATTTAATTACAATTATATTCTAAAATTAAATTGACAACACACAAATAGTATTTTTTAAGGTAAAATTTCAACTGCAACACAAAGTTACAGAAATAGAAAATTCGATTAATCAAAATCAATATTAACAGATGTGATTGCAATGTTTAAATAAAAATTTATTGTGGGATTTATTTATGGGATTTATTTTCCATGTTTCAATAATTCAAGATGAAAGAGTTCGATCCTTGTAGAAATTTCGCAATGACTAATTACGCACATTACCACAGTAATTGAATTTGTACATGAATAACACATCTGTTAAATTATTTATAAACAAATTATTGTGTTAAAAATGATTGTCACAAAACTTACTAACAATAAAAAATATTAAAACCATTATGTATATACATATATGTGTGTGTGTGTATATATATATATATATATGTATATATTGCTTTCTCTCTTTCTTTATATAAAAAACAAACTGCTATTGAATCAATTAAGTAAAAATCAATTAACTATTTTATAATATAATCTGTTTTTAATTTTACAATCTATTAAGTATTTTAATTTTTAAAACATGCTAAGATGTTATACATCACATATCTCACTGATTATAATACAAATTATTAACAAATTACTTGATATACGTTGAAAAAACGGCATTAAAAACTAATTACACTTACTATTTTTATACACATGACGGAAAGTAGATTAAACGAAGAGGAATATATTTTGAACACACTTTTGTGGCGCATATCACAAATTTCTGAAAAACACTTCTGATGATGATCTTTCCTGCTCTCGAGAAACTTTTTCGAGACTCGCGGAGGGTGGATCCTGATCGATTGAGCACCGCTGACCGCACCTGAATAGATACATTGTGCCGAGGCGGCCTATTGACGGGCGATTGTTCCCTCAACAATAACAACAATATCTGAATAGTCGTCCTGCGCATCTCTCGCGCGTTGCACGCACCCACGCATCCGCGCGTGCACGCACGAACGGGGCGCTTCCACACGCGCGTTTGTGCGCCGATGCTTGTGTATACGTCTGTAATGTACATGCACGCGTGCAGCTTGAAAGGTTTCCGTACACCCCGCGGGATACGCGCAAGCGATATAAACGCACACGCCAGTGGTAAAGTTGGCAAATGTTGGTATCTATAAACACAAAAAAAATCACCAACCAAGAAACGTCGCTCTTAATTTCGATTGTTGCACGAGTGACAATTGCAAAATATATCATCATTTCGTCTGGATTTCATAATATTAATAAACAGTAAGTACATATTCGTGTCTAAAAATAATAAGTACTAATCTCCATTCAGAAATGTAAAGATAACGCGAAAAAAGATAGAGAGAAAGAAAGAGAATGAGAATTGAAATAATATTATATTAATTTTTCATGACTAAGTATTTTTTTTGATTTAACTTATCTTTTGTTTTTGATACATATGTTGATATATTTGTGCCTACCGATAAGAATCGGAAAATAGAGATATACATATAATAATAGACGGAGTTACGTGAGTATGGGTACCAGTCGGTGTAGAAGTTGTTCGGTCGGGATTGTGGATCGAATCGGCCGCAGCGCCACGCCGCCGAGTGTTACGCTCGAGCTGAAACAATGCAGAAGCACCGAGGGTCCGAGCGATCAACCCTCTTGTACAGCTCGTGAAACGGCATTAATGCCTTTCGCGCGAATTTACGCGCTAATTCGTCGCTCATCTTCGGCTTAACCAAGAAAGTCTTTTAACGTTGCTCCGCAACGATAACAACGCATTTTTCATACTTTTTAGTGAAAAAAAAGTGACTTTTATTGATTCTACTGAATTCGAATCTGATTACAGAATAGATCAAGAATCATTCGATATAGAATAGAATCATTCGATATAATCGGATTAAAGTTTAAAAAGATATATAAGATAAAAGAATCTCGAAAATAGCTATTTTTAACAATATTCTTTCGTTGATTACAAATAAACTAACAATATTCTCTTGTTTACAAATAAATTTTATCTTGTATTTTTTTCTTTGAGACAAATTCTTCTTGTTTCTCGTCGTGCATTCTTTTGTTCGACTATTGAACATTCAAAAGTGAGATTTTAGTTTTTCTATGACTATACATACATACACATAACAACGCATATAGACATGCAGATTAGATAAGATACATAAAATAAAGACTTGATAAAAGTAAAGAATGTACTTTACAATGAAGGAGACAGTAGAGAATAATGTTTAATTTTTTTGCAGCACACAAACAATAAAATATTACAAAATAGCCATTTTCGAAATTATTTTATCTCAATATCTTTAAATTCTGAAGTGATAGCGATATACTGCGATATCAGACTCGAATTCAGCGCATCAAAATCACAAAAAATCATCTTATTTCATTAAACCAAAGCAAAAATGTCAAAGCCTAGTTTTTTTTTACAAATAAGAGAATATTGCCAAAAAAAGTTTTGGCATTTTTGAGATTATTTTACTTCAGTATCTTTCAATTTTTACGTAATAGCAAAAATCTGTGATCAGATTTGAATTCAACGCATTAGAAATGACAAAAAATCATGTTTTTGTTTTCATTAAAAAGCAAAAAAAATGGTAAATTTGATGCGCAGTGTAATGTAATAAAAAAACAGTTTTTCAACTCTAGGAAAAGATCGCGTAGACAACGCCTCTCTCTCTCTTTCTTCTCGGTTGTTTTACAAAAGAGCTGAATATATCTATATACGGGTGGTGTGGTGCGTTATATATCAAATATAATATATTAAATAATAATTAGAATTGTTTTATATATATTTTTTATAATAGAACGAGAAAAATATTTATATATAATATGATTTTGATATAAAAATATATGTAAGTAATCTAAATGATATATATATATGTAAAATATTGTTTATTATTTATAAACAAATGGTCAAGACACATGTGTGCAATGCCGTTGTAGAATTACATCGAATTTTCGAGCTGGTACATACTACATTTACCGCGAAAATGTAAGGATTGATTTTCGGCCGTTCGAGAGAAATTGCCGATCGTTTATGAAACTGCCTGAAATACGATATGTCTATCGGTACGTCATTCGGTAACGGTGCTGTATAAAGCGCCACGGCACTTGTTGATGATACAAAATTGCAAAAAGTAAAATGTAATCGACTTACATCGATGACAATGACAATCGTAACAATTCTATTTGTTATGTAGATTGTCATATCGTGCGTAAAAGATCTGGCTATTGTTTTGATTGTTTTGAAAGATGATTACACGCTGGAAGGTTAACAAAGCGTCATATTCTTACGCACACACTATTGCCCGAAATATAATAATTATTACTATTAATTATGTACACATGCGCTATGTGGAACTGAATTAGAAAAAATAATATCGTAAGATGAAGTATGATTATATCGATACAAAGAGTTTTGCATCATATTGACAAAAGAAGTTTTTTAAGTTGTTGCATTATTTAATCTTATATATGTATATATATATATAGAGACATATCGTATGATCTCTAAATTATGTTATAAATTATTACACTGATGCAAAATTTATCAACTGACATAATTTAACCACATCTTACAATCATAATAGAGAAAAAGTTGATTGACCTCTGCAGCCCGTATCCGGCGCGAGAAACGTATATCTCTCTTAAATATTTAAATATAATTTTTTTCTAAAAACTTAAATATTTAAATCTAAGTTAAAATTAAATATCTCACTTAAGCGCATATAGTAAACACAAGTATAATAATCGTCAGTTACTTGAAGTAGTTTAGCATTTTCTTCTTCATGTTACAAATATCGTGATATTATTGCTTCTTATCGCTCAAATACTAGATTTATCACGATTGGAATCGTTTGTATAGAAATACAACCTGGCGAGAGATATCTTTATACGTTTCCTTTTCTTATGTCTCCGGCTGCCGCTCTTTCGGTCTATCACAATTTAGTTGTCCGCGATGGTAATGTTGGACGTTGCTGTAGTTAATTGTGCGTTGTCCGATACGGTCGAATATTACAAAGCAGGAAATGGATCGCAAAATCCGCATTCTGTACAGCATTTCTGTGAAACATAATTTTGATTATTAGAGCTATGACTGAAACTCAATATTATAATCTATGTGGAATCTTGTTTATACTAATAGACACACTCACATACATAGAACATGAGAGAGAGAGAGAGAGAAAAGGAAAAAAAAAGAAAAAAAGAACCCAAAAAATATTTTGGAGATTTTTTTGTAAATTTTTAAAAAGCTCTTGTTTTTTTATAAAGTTAGTTTGCGTACCATTGGATTCATATCAATGACCGCGTGTTCGTCATGTAATCGATATAGCGAGTGATTAGTCAAAACACTGTGTCGATTCAAATCGTGTCGAGGTAGTCTCCGATCTTTTATTTGCCAGGACGACATTCTAATATTTGCTCCTAAATTTAATATATCACGTCCATTGTACATTACGCGGAGTTCATTCATCTGAAAGGAGAATTCTTCGTCTTTTTTTTGCACATATATAAAATACATATATTGTTACTTAATGCGAAAGAAATGACAGATGTAGCACTATTGAAATCGGTCTTCTTAAAAACGTTCCGTGTGTCGGAAAATAAAAAAATATTTTTTTATTTTGCAAGTTTCCGAACTATTTGAATGTTGTGTTTACCTTTTCTTGAGTCTTGCACGATATCCTGATAGGAGTTTCTGGCCTCGACGAAATTGGCGTTAATTCTACTGACGCTGGACGCGATTCATTGGACGTTACGAGACTGCTGATACCGCTGGACTCGCTTCCGGCACTCGGAGAGTCCCGTCCGGAATCGGGAAGATTTCTCAAGTTCTGTTCGCACGCGATGTTAAGAAGCCTCGCATTTAATGAGGAAAAGTGCTCTGGATTAAGTCCGAATAATGGAAACGCAACTGCCAGTGCCATTTTTCCTCAGTGCAATTTTTGATGTATTTCTTCCTAATGAATGTCTCGATCTAAATCACACGATTATATTATAGAACAGAGTCTTCCAACTCGCGCACGTGCGGTTTGTACGTGCGGCCATAAGATTTCTATGCGGTCATGTGATCAATTGGAAAGCTCTGTTATAGAAGATGGATTCGTGATATCGATTTTTACGTGATTTTTAGTCACATGAAATTCAATTTTTAGTCACGTAAAACTTACATTGCACTTACACACACTTTCCGATTTAGTTGTTTAAGATTTAGAAACAAGTCAAATCCGCGTTTTTACACTTGTAAAACAAAGTCAAAGCAACGGAGAGTTATTCTATTTTATATAATATTTATAATCTCTGAATATGGAAGAAATTTGTTGAGGACAAAAATTGTTGCATTGAAAAATTATATACATCTTATTTCTTATAAGTAAATTTTTATGCATGCGTTTAATATTACCTGAGCCAATGGAGCTGCTTTAATCGTTGTAGACCGTTACAACGTCAACCGACAACTGAAAGTGTATCTGCTTGAATATCTGTCTATATCACATCTAGCAACCTATAGATGTTTCTTTTCGTGATGATAAACATGACCTTCGAACGTTCAAACAGTGAAGAAAATTGATGTACTTTGCTATATATATGTTATCGATTAAAACATTTAAAATTAAATACTCAGAATATTGAGAAATTATAGATTTCATACAAAAATACGTACTTTAAATATGTTTAAAGAACTACTTAGAAAAATCACAAGTAAATTTATTTTTACAATTTTTGTGTATTTGAAGATACACTAACTATAAGAAACATAAATAGAAAAAGAATAAATAAGAATGTGTGGTAATAATAAAATAAGAAGATAGTTAAACTTAAATATTTAAACTTTTATACATATTATTTGCATTACAGGTTTTCTTTTGAAATTGTTTGACTAAAAACAAAATGTTATTTTACAATCCTGAGAACTCTTCTTTACCGACGTAAAGTTGGTAACGTTATTCACGGTTGGTATAAGCAGTTTACTGCATGCGCTGTGATAAATGCAGACATATTTTACTGTTCTGAAGAAATCTACTTTACCGACTGTAATTAGTTTGCTTTTTCTTTACAATTAAAGTTTTCTCTTGTGTAACCGTAACATTTCTTATTAACATTTAAAAGATAAGAGAGTTTAAATGTACTGTTAATAATATTAAACTATTTAGATGATATATTAAATATTGTTTAATATTATAAGAATTAAAACAATATGTCTCTTACCATACGTTGCACATAGAATCTACTTATGGTAACTGCCGAGTTTTGATGTCGATTCCTTTAAGTTGTTTCTTTATACGAATGAATTTACTCATCATACCACTAGAGTGCCGTTGAGTTGAATGTGCATTATATATATAATTAAAAGTTTAATTATTTGATATTTTGCAATTATTTGAACGTGTATGATTAATTAATTTAATTTATCTTTTGATCAAACTTGAAGCAGATTGTAAAAATATTTTTAATAGAACATTATTTTAATTATATGTGATCAAGCCTTCTCGTAAGCGCTTACTGAAACATCATGTTCTTTATAAATTATATTTTTACGTATGATTGCAAGGTGGTTCGGTGCTACTAAGGTATCATCTGAGTACTCGTTTTCCGGCACCTCAGGCATCCAGAACACAAAGAGGGGACGGATTGCGATGTTGTGTGTGTGTTGATAAAAAGTCTGTGTCTGATTTGTTCCTCGACTGTTCTACTCTCGTTAGATTTTCGGTGCTCTCAAGAGAGGACGGTTTTGTGAAGAATCCAGCCAGGTTAATCGTGTGATGGAATGTTGGAGCTTGTTATTCTAGTTAAAACGTTTAAAAGAGAGAGAGAATACACTTGCTGGAAACAGAGAGAAGAAAGAAGCAACATTATAAATAATTGCGTAAGGTGTGCAGTTAAAATCATAAAAGAGACGAATGTATATTATTATTACTATGAATTAAAAAGGAGGGGAGATAGTGTATATATATTGTGTCCTGGACTTTATATAACGCCTTGATTTAAATAAATCCTCTCCTTTCTTCGTTATGCTTAAGTTTGCTTGTTTGGAAAATCACAAGAATGTGCGCGCACGCCAAGGAAGATTCTACTTTAGAGATATGAATAAGATAATTGTAAGACAGTGTAGGAAAAAGAAGAAGACAACAAAAGAAGATTATATGTACAAAAGAGTTTGTTACATATATATTTATATAAATATATATAATATGGTACGCATACGCGCTTAATGTATCATAAGACACATGTTTATAGAAGAAAGACGAAATAAATAAAAGTCGAGTTATTTATCAATATAACTCTCTCAACGTAAACTGTCAGAAAAAGAATTAGTTAGAAGTGAAAATTTGCGTTAGAATTAATTACTAGAGATAATTCCTGTATATAAAGTTCAAAATTTTCTTCTCGCGCTTTCTCGTAGACTCTCTTTCGATGAATAACTTACCTTCGGCAGAGGAAAGAAGAAAACAGAGAAAGAAGGTTTACATCATACAAAGAAGCGCGGTATAGGAAGACTAACCTTATACAAGACACTACCTTTAAAAACACTATCAAAAAAGTAAACCTTCTAATACAGATAAAGACACTCCGGCCTTACCGTGTCTTCTACTTCCGTACTCTGCCAAATGGGGTAAAGAGAATTTCTAAAATGAAACTCCCCTTGTGGTGTAAGGTTCAACCGTGTGCCTTAATTTCCACATACAAAAGATGTATGTGTAATACACATGGTCTAACACATGTGAAAGAAACAGCGGCGGGGTGATGTTTTCAAATGCAGTCCGGCAAGGTCTGGACACCCCCGCCGGCTGACAGCGACAAACACACACCCTTCACCACAACAACACACTATACCTATATTCTTCATGAAACATGGCATGGAACAAAGTATGGTATCTATACGATTCTTGAGTGGATTTCAACATAACCACGAGTGGTATCTGTGGGTCTTCTAGAGAGCCGAATTCAATCAAGGAGTGAGAAGACAGACTGCAGAAGTCGTGTTGGGATTTCTTGCAAACTTAAGTAGCGACATCAACCACCTTTTTGCATTAATAAACACGAATAAAATGATTTTTATTTTACATGTTTACTTTGCTTTTACGTTTGAATGTAAAAATACTGAAAACAGAATTTTGTGAATATTTATATTATAAATATATATGTATAATATTTATATTATAAATATATATGTATACGATAAAATATATGTTCACTTTGCCACACAAAAGAAGGCTTAGAACGTTTCTATTTATTAAAATAACTATCGTAATAGCACGTGCAAATCGAAAATATATTTTGCTAATGGCTTCTTCAAACTCTATAACACTGTGGTGTTATCATGAAACGTTCATTAATTGTAAATAGTTATTTTTTTGTAACTTTTATTATATTAATAATATGTTTATATGTGCACATATATACGTATTAATCTCACATATAAGTTTAGTCTTTTGCAACATATAAAAAACTTAATTTATGTGAGACAGTAAGAGTCCTACATTACCGACTTAGAACTGGTTCTAAGTTTCATGGTGCGCCGATAGAGAGCTATCCTTACCGCATATATACATTGAATATATAGAATACTTTAAAAAGAATTTTTCAAAACTTTCAATTGTAATGAAAATACTAGATATTTTTAGTTTATATTTAATCTATAATTACGTATATTTAAATTAACTTTATAATTACAATTAAAAAATGTTTCATTTAATTTGTATTATTTGAGTACATATAATTTGCACAAGAGATTTTGAATTTTATTAGCTTTTCATACGTAATACGAGTGCAATTAATAATAAGACAGAAATAGAAAGTGCATCTCAATTTAATTATATAACATTTATAATCAATATCTTTATGATTTGTCTTTTGAAATTTATATTGTATAGCTTTCTTTCTTTATCGAATTTCCCTCTAGTTACTTTTGTGAAATAATTGAAATTGAACTATAATTTCTCTGTTATCTATGAGAATATTAAAAAGCGACATAAACAAAAACTTGTTTTATTCTTTTATGAAAGAAATATATTTGAAAGATTAACTTTTTTGAGAGATTAACTTTCTTAAGAAAATTTCATTATATAATTATTCATTATATAAATTGGCTGCTGTGCAAATTACATTCTGTATGTACTTACTATATAGATGCGTTGTCAGCTCTTTCTAGTATACCGGGCGGACGTTACGCGCGGCATTACATCACATCGCATCACATCGCGTCGCATCGCATCGCGCGACCCATCCGGTGGCCCTAGCAACGCACATGCGCCCTTCTTGGACTCTCGCCTCTCCGGTTTCTCTCTCCGGATGGTTAGGGATTGGCCCGGAGTAACACCCCCTTATAATGGGTTCACCCGTCCGCGTCGAGTGCCAGAAAGAGAAAAAGAGAGAGAGAGAATATGTGTACGTGTGTGTGAGAGAGACAGAAAGAGAGAGGAGAGAGAGAGAGAGAGAGAGAGAGAGAGAGAGAGAGAGAAGTGGAGAGACAGAGAAAGATAGAGAGAGAAGGAAAGAAGAGACAGAGATGGTCGAAACGAGGGAGAGACGTAATTCCGTGGTAGCGAGAGAGGAGTGAGAAAATCGGACGAGAGCGCTCTCGCTCTCTACGGCGGCTGCGAGGACCACGCGCGAGAGGGAAGAGGGCAACGGAAGCCATATTGATTTCCCTATGTTTCCCCGTGTTGTTACTATAGCGCCGAGCGAGGGTGCGAGGAGTAGGCAGGTACTACCCTCCTCGACAGCCACCCCGTTCTTCTAACTGTCGGTTGTCTGGCGAGAGAGACTGTGCTGTACTCGGCGCGGCTAGGCGTGCGTATATTCTGTTTCTGATCTCTCTCTTTCTTTCTCTCTCTCATTCTTTTTCTCTTATTTCTTTATCTACTCGCCTCTTTTCTCTCTCTGTCGTGCCATTTTTTCCTCGCGACCTCTGTGTCTCGCGCGCCAAGTATCGTCTACTATTTTTCTCATTGTCTATTGTGTTATATCGTGACCGCCAATTCTGATCAGAATGTTTTTAAAGATTTAAAATATCATCGCAATGTGCTAGAAAAATACGTCTTATTTTAATATTTTTACGATCACGCGCATACACAAATCTACAGCGAATTTTTAATTTTGAAAACTTTTCGAGTGTAAATCTGAAAGTTTTGTTAAAAGTCTTTAAATATATGGGAGAGACAACAAAGCAAAAGAAATTTTGTTTTGCATAGAACGAAATTATAATTGAATATATATTATCCTAAATAATCAAATATAGATTTTTTTTTTTCATTTGCTGCGCGTGTTAGTTTTTGAACATCGCGTGATTTATAAACAGGATGTTACAGTTATAAACTGCTGCTTTATCCAGGTTTCTCGGCTACAAGTTTCCGAACACGAAACACCACTGCGAGACGCGATTCGCTCATTAACGATAGACATCGTTCATCATTTCGTGCCATAACATCGTTCGTGGTCATGCGTGAATCGGACGTAACGTTTTCCCCTAACTCCGCGGAACA